TAAAAAGTCATCCTAAAATTCAGATAGAACCTCAAGGGTCTCTGAAGATCCTAAAAAATCCTGAAAAAGAACAAAGCTGGAGAACTTACACTTTATTATTTCAAAACTAACTATACAGGTACAATAACCAAAACAGTATGGCACTGGCATAAAGATAGACATATAGACCAATGAAACAGAATAGGGAGTCCAAAATTAAAACCTCACATAAATGGCCAAATGATTTTTCGCAAGGTATCAAGATGATTCAAAGAGAAAAAGGTGGTCTTTTCAGCAAACGGTACTGGGAAAACTGAATAGCCACATGTAAAAATATGCAGTTAGACTCTTACCTAACACCATGTACAAAAATTAACTCAAAATGGATCCATGACTTAAATATAAGATTCTAAACTATAAAACTCCCTGAAGAAAAAAATAAGGCAAAATCTTTTTTAAAAATATATTTCTATTGATTTCAGAGAGGGGGGAGAGAGAGAGAGAGAGAGAGAGAGAGAGAGAGAGAGAGAGAGAGAGAGAAACATCAATGATGAAGAAGAAATATTGATCAGCTGCCTCCTGCCCCACACTGGGGATTGAGCCCGCAACCCAAGAATGTGCTCTGACCAGGAATCAAACCATGACCCAGTCCTGGTTCATAGGTCGATGCTCAACCACTGAGCCATGTTGGCTGAGCAAAGCAAAAATCTTTACATTGGGTCTGGCAAAGATTTCTTAGATATGACTACAAAGGCATAGAAACTAAAACACAAAATTCACAAATTGGACTTTATAAAAATTTTTAAATGTTGTGCATCAAAACACATTACCAACAGAATAAAAAGGCAGCCCACGGAATGGAAGGAAATCATATATTCAATAAGAGATTAATATCTAGGATATATGGAGAACTCCTAAAGCTCAACAAGAAAACAGATTTTTAAAATGAGCAAAGGACTTAAATAGACATTTAAACAAAGAAAATAAATAAATGGCCAATTGCACATAAAAAGATATTCAACATAATTATTCATTAGGAAAATGTAAATCAAAACTACAATGAGATGCCATCTTATGTCTATTAGAATAGAATTATCGTCAAAAAGAAAAAAAACAGAAATAAGGACTGTTAGTGAAGGTGTGAATAAAATCTGTTGGTAGGGATGCAAAATGGTTATAGGTATTGTAGAGAACAGTATGGTGGTTTCTCAAATATTAAAAATAGAACTGCCATATGATACCACTTCTGGGTATAGAGTCAAAAGAATTGAATGAAGGGTTTCAAGGAGGTATTTGTACATCCATGTTCTTAGTAGCATTATTCATAGTAACTAGAATGAGGAAGAAACCCAACTATCCACCAACAAATGAGTGGATAAACAAACTGTATGTGCATACAATGGAATAATATCATTCTTAGGACTTTTAAAATATGCATTGGATGTCTCTGCAAATTGACATGACTTCTACAATATAACTATTTTAAAATAGTTTTATTTATAAGCAATCTTTTAAGAAGAAAACTTATTTACATTTCCAACACTTGCAAGTTCCAACACCCCAAAAAGAGTTACTAACTTAGTGTTAAATTTCTGTGCTTCATTTGTACCAATTCTTTGATGGAAACATCATAAAACCAGTATTGGTCAGGAGTCATTTTGGCTATCACATCATCCCCATGCAGTATTTTGTGATTCAAAATAGAGAAAATTAGAGAAACCTATAGCATCAGAGATTTTATAGGTAGTCTGTCAATTCCTAAAGTCAGAAACATGGTGATTTTTAAAAATATATATTTTCACTGATTTCAGAGAGGGAGGAAAGAAAAGAGAGAGAGAAACATCAATGATGAAAGAGTCAACCATCAGCTGCCTTTTGCACTTCACCTACTGGGGATCAAGGCGCATCCTGGCATGTGCCCTGACCAGGAATGGAACCATGACCTCCTGGTTTATAAGTCAATACTCAACCACTGAGCCACGCCAGTTGGGCAACATGATTATTTTTGATGAAAATTTCCCATTTTATTTTCATTGACACTTTGGGGACACGCTTTGCCTTTGAAAAACTATAACCAGGATGATTTACATTAGTGAAGGGACAAATCTGAAACCCCGTGTGCACGTGGCCTGAACAAGAGGTCATCAGCATTCTGACATTGTGTCTCTCTGTTTGCTCTTCCAATTTGGTGCTCTTCTTAATGCTCAGAATCAGCAAGACACAGTCTTGGCCCACACAGAGTTTACAGTCTATTGGAGGGAGATACACAAAACAACAAATAAATACATAATGTAGTTTTAGAATTTACAAAATATTTAAAATGCATCATAACACATTCTTCATACCACTCCTAGGAGAAAAATATCTTTTCCCTTTTCATAGAGGAGGCCATAAAATTTAGTCAGTGATGTCTAGGCCAAAAAATTTTGAGGGCAAGAATTATACCTGCCTTGTTCATCTGACTCTATGGTGCTGAAAATAAAGATACTCAATAAAGTTTGGTGTTTAAATGAGAGCAAAGGGACCTAAAGAACACCTTGACCTCATTAGCATAATGAAGTGTTAATAAGTACATGTTCAGAACACTGTAATATAGAAGTGTATCAAATTCTCAGAGACAGAAAAATATATGTGCTTGTAAATGGAAGTATTTTATATTACAAGTAATTTTCAAAGACACCTACTGTTTGAACAATATGTCTAAAATACCTAGCCAAATATTTTACAGAATGAAACTACTCTATGTACTGAATGTGGAATCTCTCTCATCCTAGGGTAGAAATCAGGGTTCAAATCTTATCTGCACAATTTACTAGGGAGTTAACTTTGGACAATTCTGACTTCAACTGTGCTCTGAAAGCACCCATCTTTCTCTGTTATGCCCTGTGTGAACCTATGAGATTTTCAATATTCCTTTTCCTTTTCCTGTACTCTTCCTTCTTCTTTTCTCCTCCTCCCTCCCCATTCAGCCTGTTCAAATCCATATTTAACTCAGCTCTCAAGCCTAGACTTAAATGTCATTGCTTCCAGACCTGGACCACCAGGTCCAGGTTAGGTGGCCCATGGATTGTTCTGATAGTGGCCCTCGCTCCATGTTTTGCTTTCTATGTCTCTCACACTCTGTAAGCTCTGTGAGAACAGGGGCCAGGTCTGCTTTGTTCACTGTAGGGCCTATCAGAGTGCCAGCCCAGACTAGGCAATCCATAAGTATTTCTTAAATGAAGGAATGAAGTTACTTAATTTCTGCCAGCCTCGGCTTCCCAAGTATAAAAGGGTGCTGTATGTAGTATCTACCTTATAGGATTGTTGTACGGATTAAATTGAATGAATTAAGCAAAATACCTATATGATGCCTGTACAGAGTATGTGGCCAATAAATGTTTTACTTTTATGACTATTCTAGAACTCTCTGCTACTTCTGCTCACTCTGCCCACTCTAGAGAGCCTCTTGACTTCTCTTTAAAACTAGAGGCTTGGTGCACGAGATTTGTGCACTCAGCGGTGGGGGGATCCCTCAGCCTGGCCTGTACCCTCTCGCAGTCTGGGAGTCCTTGGGGGATGTCCAACTGACATCCTTAGTGCTGCAGCAGAGGCGGGAGAGGCTCCTGCTGCTGTGCAGCGCTCGCCAGCCATAAGCCCAGCTCAGGGCTTCTGGCTGAGCGACGCTCCCCCTGTGGGAGTGCACTGACCACCAGGGGGCAGCTCCTGCATTGAGCATCTGCCCCCTGGTGGTCAGTGTGCATCATAGCGACCGGTCGTTCCACCGTTCAGTCAATTTGTATATTAGCCTTTTATTATATAGGATGCTTTATGACTATAAAGCATGAAGCATCATAGGTTGCTATCTATACTAATAGGTCATTCATTCAACATGGCAACCAACTGAGTACAGCTACTCAGTTTTCTGTGAATGCTTCTGATAATGTCTCCTTCTAATTACCTGATATTAACAATAACCATGCACCCTGATTTGTACCTGGGAGTTTATTTTTATCAGATATGGCAAAGTGACAGATATAAAGACAATGCCTTTGAAAGAAGAGTTTATTAAATTTTACCACTTAGGGCCACATAGGGAAGCAACAAAGCAACAAGGTCAGTCAGGAGGTAGAAGTGAGGAGAAAGCACAGGCCATGGCCTTTGTTGGGGTTTTCATGAGGAAGGCAAGGCGGGGTTAACAGAGTAGAACTGGCTAACTTAAATAACCCAGGGACTTTGGGTATAGGTCTCCATTTATCAGTTATCTAGACCTCGGTTGATTCCAGGCAGGGGAAATACTGGCTCTGTGTGTGAGGGTTAGATAAAGGAGGTGGATGGGGATATGAACCAAGACCTGGTTGGTTTTCATATGAACAGTGTGGTAGCAGGAAGCTGTTCACTATCTCTAGGAATTAGGACTGGGAGGGACAGTCTCCTCCAGCCAGGCCCTCTCAGATATCAAACCATCATAAAATACAGGAAAAAAAAAAAGCATGATTCATACACATACTCCATGGCAAGAGGAAATGGGATTTTATCATTAGCCCTTGTTCCATCATTTATTCTATTGTAATCTCTAATAACATCACTCTTGGGATGTAAAAGTCTGGGCGTTTAATCTCTTCTAGTTCATTCTAGACAAAACTGGCAATTGCCTTTGCTAATCCTTCCTGAATCTGCTAATTACAAGAGCCTAAGGATACCCTTTCTCTAATAAGCACCCTAATTTGCCTATAAACACCTTATGTTCCACCTAATTTTACTTTGTGCAGATGCCTTCTTTCTTACACAAATGAAATGGTATCTAATTATTAATATATTTGTCAAACACTTAATTATATAATGCTGAAATTGATGTTGAGACAAACTTTCTTCTTTGGGGACTCGATGACCCAGTGACTCCATGGACTAAGTCATTTGGAACTGGGAATATGTTTGAAGGAATTGGTTGGCTCAGTCATATTCCCTCTTCTTTCCTCTTTCTCTTTCCCGCTCCCCTTCTGAGACTTACTACCGTTTATTTGTCTTTGTTTCTTTAAAACTCCCAAACAGGCAAATGTTTACTGCAGCTCTGTACCAACTGGAGACCAGTCCCTGTCCTATATCCATGGCCTCCCCCGGAGAAAACTTAGAGACTGGTCCTTGGAGCAGATGGAAAGGGGAAGCTCTGACCAGCCAGAGGTGTGTATACTGAGAGTTGGTGAGTTTTCTATTGTGGATGAAGGGGTATTATTTGTTGACTGTATACTTTGATGTGGAACAAACAATAAGACCGTCTGAGGGTGAACAGGTGGACACCCAACTCCACATATCTAACTGGCTTTTCAGGAAGCTTTCCTGGGGAGTTCACAGGAAGACCTCAAATGTCCCAACTGGACTTCTCACCTTCCGCCCACCTTCCATCTCCCAAATCCAGTGGGTCTCTAAGATATGCCATTCTAAATTCTCACATAATCAAAAGGTTATTTTGTAAAACAAAGATGGTATGCCTTAAGTCGTATGTACTCTGAAGTTATTTGCTTCTTTTATTCTGAAGGAGAAGGTCCTAAGGCATTGTAAACTAATAAATACATCCAGGTTGAACACTTACCCTCAGGTATTACTAACTTGTCTTATACTAGGCTAGGCCTGAAAGTAGATGCTCTGATACCAGCCCTACGAGGCTTCTGCCTCCTTGCATGGGCCTTCAGCCAATTTATTTCAGAGCCCTGTTAATTTTTGGTTGTTGTTGTATCAGGATATTGGCCAGAGGCTAAGTGGAACGACAAAAGAAGACACTTTTCTTCTCGCCCTGGTCAGAAGAGAGCTCAAGGCCCACTCTTTGAGTACTGGCTTATTAGACAAGCTTCAAAAAGAGCTGAAAATCCTGGATCCCATCGCTTCCGGATTTCTTCTTCAGTCTCAGCTGAGTCGCCTCTTCCTGAAGCATGAAGTCCCTCTGCAGTTACCAACAGTCAAGATCCTCTGCCAGAGGTTTGCCAGGAGTGGCTCTCCTGAAATGGTATGGCCACCTCGAAATTTCCAGTGTGCATTTCTTTCCTTTATTTTACTTGAACCCACCAGAGTAATAGAATTAAAAGGTTAGTTTCTTTCTTTAAAAAATAACCTTTACTATTGACCCCTAAGATACAAAGCTTATTTATATTCATACTAGAGGCCCGATGCACAAAATTTGTGCATGGTGGGGGGGGGGGGGCGCGCCTCAGCCTGGCCTGCACCCTCTCCAATCCAGGACCCCTCAGGGGATGTCCTACTGCCTCTCGCAATCCGGGACCACTGGCTCCTAATCGCTCGCCTGCCTGCCTGCCTGATTGCCCCTAACCCCTCTGCCTGCCAGCCTGATCGCCCCTAACCACCCTGCCTACCTGATCACCCCTAACTGCTCCCCTACTGGCCTGATCACCCTTAACTGCTCCCCTGCTGGCCTGATTGCTCCTAATTGCCTCTGCCTCACCCCTGCCTCTGCCTCACCCCACACCTGGGACCCAGGATTCCTTCCTCCAGCTAGTTGCAGGCACCCGGGACCTGGGCTTCCCTCCCTCTGGCTGGCCGCAGGCACCCAGGACCCAGGCCCCACAGGCACCCAGGACCCAAGCCAGCTTCCCCTGGACCATGGGGCAGGCAGCTTGTCCCTCTCCCGGGCCTCAGGCACTGGTGCCCGGGACTACAGGGCGGGTGGCTTGTCCCTCTCCCAGGCCGCAGCCTGGCTGGTCCCCATACCTCTCTCCCCAGTGTTGAGCGTCTAAGCCATTAAGGCATGATGGCGTGAGGGCGTGATGACCATTTGCATATTAGCTCTTTATTGTATAGAATGTGTAAATCTCTAGTTAGAATACACCAGAATAGAAAATAGATTTAGGTCCCTCTCTTTTTTTTTAATATATTTTTATTGACTTCAGAGAGGAAGGGAGAGGGAGAGAAAGAAACATCAAAAATGAGAGAGAATCATTGATTGGCTACCTCCAGCATACCTCACACTGGGGATAGAGCCCACAACCTGGGCACATGCTCTGACTGGGAATTGAACCGTGACCTCCTGGTTCATAGGTCAACACTCAACCACTGAGCCTCACGAACCAGGCAAGTTAGGTCTCTTAGTCCTGCTTAATTTCTCTTTAATGAGCTTTCCCTTCCCAACTTTCATTGTCTACTCCTAACACTAGTGGGATAGTTAGAGATTCAAGATAATGAGTGCATTTAAATCCATTTACAAGCTGAGCAGTTGGTAAGAATGGAGAACTTGACTAAGAAGTGTTACAGTTCCTAGAGCATTAGAGAGTTTGGGGTGTGGGGTAGTAATTTCTGAAATATAACTCACCACCATCAATTTACTGATTAGGAAACTGAGCTCCAGAGGGCACAGGGCACCTGGAGAATTAATGGCAGACCCAGGGCTGAGATAAATGTTCCCCAATACAAGGGCAGGGTTCTTTCTCTGCTTGTACTTCCCAAGCTCGCACTTGAAAGTGAATACAAAACAAGGTCCAAGTGTAACCAAATTCAGGGAGCTAGAGAAAAGTGCCCTAAAAGAGGAAGAAGTAATAGCAATGGGAAAATCATTAGTGAGCATGTGATGATAGAAAACAAGGCCAAAACCAACCTGGTTTCATGTTTAGCAGTTAATAGGTACACAAATGAATGTAAGTTCTCTCTCCTGCCCATTCTTAAACTGCAAAAATAAAATTAGTTGTATGAGAAATATTTAGGAGTACAATGGCAACTTACTAGTACAACCTCCTTGAATCTTTAATTCAATCAAATTTTCTGGTTTGAAATCTAATTTATATCTGGGACCCTGTCTAGCTTCCTTCTCCCATGCTACCCCCTCCACTGCTCTGGAGTTGTCTGTCCACCATAATCCCTAGGATTCCATCCAGCCCAGCAATGAAAATGGACAACATTCCTTCAGTCCTTTTCTATGTAAAAAAATAATAATAATTAAAATATATATATAAAGCCTAAGCGACCGTCCGACCGTCTGACCATTCGCCCGGTAGCTATGACGGGCAATGACCACCAGGTGGCAGATGCTCTGACCAGTAGAGGAGGGAGCCCGATTCATTGCAGAATTGGCCATGGGTTAGGCTGCTGCTGGGGCACTGTCAGCCCCGAATCTGGTCACCTGCACCCTGGACCCAGAGAGGAGGGAGGAGGGAGCCGGTGGGCATCCAGGTCCTGGGGGCTGGGCCTGCAGGAGGGGGTCTCACAATCTAGGACCCCTCTGGGGATGTTGGAGAGCCGGTTTCGGCCCAATCCCCACAGGCCAGGCCAAGGGACCCCACCAGTGCATGAATCTTGCACCGGACCTCTAGTAATAAAATGAAGTAAAATAAAACTTTGAAATTTTTTTATTTACCTTAGTAACTAAGACCTTATCCTCAAATAATCTGAATATATCTGCTGAATATATCTAAATATAAGCACATATTATATATAATACATATATAAAAGAGAGAGAGGCTAAAGGCTAGGTTATAGTGTAGTAACAAATAGTCCCAAATCTCAGTTGCTTAAGAGAGCAAAAGCTGGAGAGACCAAGATGGCGGCATAGGTAAACACCGGAGATTGCTGCTGCAAACAACCACTTCAAAAATACAACTAAAAGATGGAACGGACATCACCCAGAACCACAGGAAGGCTGGCTGAGGAGAGACTCTTCAACTAGAAGGAAAGAGAACAGCATACCGAGGCTCAGAGGAGGCGCAGTGTGAAAAATACAAAGGTGCGGAGGTACGCGCGCAAAGCGGGCTGGTGGCTGAGGGCGCGGTTGTCGTTTTCAATCAGGAGGGAGTCTCAGACTCTGAGCTCCAGATCTGGGCAAGTCTCTAGGGACTCAGACTCAAACGGGAGAGGCAGGATTGTCTGGCATCAGTTGGAACGTGAGGGCAGCTTTCTCTCCAAGGTTTGCAGCGGTTGCTGGGGTTCTGAGAAGCAGAGCCTCTGGGAACGGGACTGAGAGCAGCCATAACTGCTCCCTCCGCCCGCCCTGTTGATCCCGTGCGACCCGCCCCACCCAAGCCCTGCGCAGAGCCGTTTGCTGGATAGCCTCAGGCAAAGGCTAGATTAGCAACTCTCCAGAGGACAGAAGTTTTCCCACTGCAGATACAGGTGATTCTCACAGCCAGTCGGCCTGGTGGTCAAATCCCTCTAGTATTAACTACAACAATCAAGGCTTAACTAGAACAAGACTGCGCACAAAGACCACAAGGGGGTGCACCAAGAAAGCATAAAAAATGCGGAGACAAAAAAACATGACAGAAATGGAGGGTATAGAGCTAAAAAACGCAATTTTGAGGGCTTGCAATAATGTGCTAGAAGCTGCCAATAAACTTGATGAGAGCCTCACGAAATCTAATGAGACCCTCGATGCTGTGATAAAGAACCAACTAGAAATTAAGCATACACCGACTGAAATAAAGAATATTATACAGACACCCAATAGCAGACCAGAGGAGCACAAGAATCAAGTCAAAGATTTGAAATGCGAAGAAGCAAAAAACACCCAACCGGAAAAGCAAAATGAAAAAAGAATCCGAAAATACGAAGATAGTGTAAGGAGCCTCTGGGACAGCTTCAAGCGTACAAACATCAGAATTATAGGGGTCCCAGAAGATGAGAGACAGCAAGATACTGAAAACCTATTTGAAGAAATAATGACAGAAAACTTCCCCCACCTGGTGAAAGAAATGGACTTACAGGTCCAAGAAGCGCAGAGAACCCCAAACAAAAGGAATCCAAAGAGGACCACACCAAGACACATCATAATTAAAATGCCAAGAGCAAAAGACAAAGAGAGAATCTTAAAAGCAGCAAGAGAAAGAGACTCAATTACCTACAAGGGAATACCCATACGACTGTCAGCTGATTTCTCAACAGAAACTTTGCAGGCCAGAAGGGAATGGCAAGAAATATTCAAAGTGATGAATACCAAGAACCTACAGCCCCCAGGACCTTTACTTTATCCAGCAAAGCTATCATTCAGAATTGAAGGTCAGATAAAGAGCTTCACAGATAAGGAAAAGCTAAAGGAGTTCATCACCACTAAACCAGTATTATACGAAATGCTGAAAGGTATCCTTTAAGAAGAGGAAGAAGAAAAAGGTAAAGATACAAATTATGAACAACAAACATGCATCTATCAACAAGTGAATCTAAGAATCAAGTGAATAAATAATCTGATGTACAGAATGAACTGGTGATTATAATGAATCAGGGACATAGAAAGGGAATGGACTGACTATTCTTGCGGGGGAAAGGGGAGTGGGAGATGCGGGAAGAGACTGGACAAAAATCGTGCACCTATGGATGAGGACAGTGGGTGGGGAGTGAGGGCGGAGGGTGGGGCGGGAACTGGGAGGAGGGGAGTTATGGGGGGGGGAAAAAGAGGAACAAATGTAATCTGAACAATAAAGATTTAATTTAAAAAAAAGAGCAAAAGCTTATTTTTTATTTACATTACATTTTTGTAATGAGTTTGCCACAGGCTCTTCTTGGCACTGTCATTATCTTAGCTCCAAAACCCAGGCTGATGAAGCAGACACTCTGGAATGTTTGGGACATATGGCAGCAGGAAAAAGAGCTCTGAAGGCCTCATGTCAACAGTTTAATCCTCAACCCAGAAGTAGCACATGTCCCTTCTGCTTATAACTCATTGGCCAGAACTGGTCACATGGTCCTACCCAGGAAGTGGAATTTTACCATTTGTCCAGGAGGGAGAATAATAGTAATATTTGGTTAAAAAAAACACTAATAATTATTATATTTTTTAAGCTGCTTTAAAAATTCTTCATTGTTTAATATTTCAAACACATTTCATTTCAGCTGGCCTCTTTTCCCTACATGTAAATTAAATGAGGATGTTCTGTTTCATATTTAATTTTCAGGTGAACTATGAGAAGCTACTTTGTTTTCTGAAAGTGGCAGCCTCAGATGATCCACAGCAAAGCAGAAGAGCCGTGAACAGCAGCCCGAGGGAAGCTCAGGGTGGTACCCATCACAGCGAAAGGTACTTCCTCCCTTTCTGTGGGCACATTATTCCCAGACTTTCAGAGCTGGCCGGGCTCTTGGAGGCAATTCCCTATTAGGTGAGCAGTGCAGAAACATAGCTGTTCACCAACACCCAGTTTACACTTAGTTTTCTCTCGCTGTGCTGTAAACAGGTGGGCACAGGAAATTATTTGCAACCATTGTATATGTTTCTTAACAGCAGTGTTTGTTTTTTTATGAGGTTTCGGTGTAAAGATGAAAAAATCCATTCTGAAATAAAAAACGATTGTGGCTCTGGCCGGGTGGCTTAATTTTAATTGGTTGGTGCATCGTCCCATACACCAAAAGGTTGCAGATTCGATTCCCAGTCAGAGCACATACCTAGGTTGCAGGATCAATTCCTGGTCAAGACATTACCAGAGGCAAATGATCGATGTTTCTCTCTCCTCCCCCGCTCCACCCTTCTTTTCTCTCTAAAAATTAATAACACATATCCTTGGGTGAGGCTTAAGATAAATAAATAAATACCTAAATAAAATGAAAGAAATGATAGCGCCCTGGTGCAGTACTCATCTAGAGTGTGTTCCGGAAATATGTTCAGTCAGTGAACTCCTGCGCTGCAGGTACCAGCACAGAGAAGTTTAAGGTACAGAATCAATAATCCCTTCCCATAATCTCAAGGGAAAGAAGTGATTAAAGGTAAACATAGGAAATGAGGAATATCATTAGAGATGAGACACAGTAAAGCATGACAGTCTCTGTGTTCTCTAAGAAAACTGGCAAAGGGTGGTGGCTAGGAGCATAACCCCATGGCCAAAAGCCTGGGCTCAATCCCTGTCTCTGCCACTAGGTGGAGCCTGGGGCTAGCCACTTACCCTCTCTGTGCCTCCACTCTCCAACGGTAAAATGGGAACAATGTGTAACAGTGACAGTTAATTCATGCAAAGTCCTTAAAGTCTTTGGTACACGGGAATTGCTATAGAAGTGTTTGTTACTACTTTTTAACTATCCTGTCAGAAGATACCCTTTTCAGTTACAAATCATGTGACATAGTGATTAAGAGCCATGGGATAGGAATTTACCTCTTTAAGAAAAAGGTATGGTTTTCTGTACAAATGTCCCTGGGCCAAGTGTTAGATTTAATTCCCTTTACATGTGCTCTGTTGACTCTGATACTTCATCAAACATTCATTGAATACCAGCTGTGTGCCAGGCACACTTTGCTGGGCACAATGAATTCAGAGGTGAGCAAGGCCCAGTCACTCCTTCAAGAGCTCATAGTCCAAACAAATATCCCTCTGAGAGTAACGGTCCTACCCATAAAGCCCTGTACATTTTTAATAGTCAGCAACCACGCTTCATACAGTACAGACTGTGAGAGGTAGTAGACTGTGCCCAGGAGAACGTGGCCACGCATTGACAGATACGGTGGGTCTATGAGTCCTAGACAGGAAGCCTCTCCTGAGTTCTAGACTGGGTTGTGTTTCTTTGCTGTACGGTCACATAGACGTTTTCCTTCATAACAGACTTTGTCCTGGTAATTACTTATCTGACATTTGAGGTTGGGAATAGCGTCTGTCCTGGCCCATTCAGTGTCTAACATGGGTCTAGCATAGTTCCTGGCACATAGGAGATGCTCAATAAATACTTGTTGGGTGTAATTGGCACCTCCCGTTATCCAAAGAGCTTGCATCACTTCATGTGCAGGGACATCTGGATTTCTACCCTATAAAAAAGGTGCCTGAAGAGATCATTTGGAATTCATCACAGAAGGCGCTGTTTACATGGACCAGATAGTGTGTGTGTGTAGAAGCACAGGACGAGTGGCCTGTAATGAACCCAGGCTCCTTGTTCATTAATGTGCTGCTCAGGAAAATACCCTCTCGTGTTCTTCAGGTAGAGCTTTAAATGAGGCAGCTCTGTGATGTTTTAAAAGCCGCCAGCATCACTAATGGGACCAGATGAAATCCACTCCTGCAGCAGGTTTTCTAAGAAACCCCACCGGCTGCAGTAAATGGGTTCCATACAACACCTGCCAGTTCAGGACCCGGTGTACGGAGATGGGGCCAGAGCCCCATGAATTCCCACCCCCAGAAACTGGCATTGAAAGAAAAGAAGGAAGAAAGAAAAACTTCTGATTCAAATCTGGGACAGATACTTCTGGTTGACAAGGCCCGAGTCATGTGCCCTGAGCAGCAAAGAGAGGCTGGGAACGCAAATAGCTGGCATGCTCCTCAGCTGGACTGAGAGGCAGGCTCCCGGGCTGGGAACTCCCTGAACAAGGAAAGTGGGTGCAGAGCTAGGTGACCAATGCAAAGACAAATAGCCCCTTTTCCTCCTTTTCTGTACCAAACTTTTAGAAAATATTAGCTATTGTTAAGTAATTCAGAAAGGCAGAGTTTGGTGTCAAAGCTCAAGTAAGAGTTACAGAGCAAAAAGAAGATAGCATATGACTTTCGGAAAGTTAAATGCATCTAAAAATAATCCATTGCTGAGAAAATAGTTTGGTCAGATCTGGAAGGACACATACTTTTGAAAGTGAAATACGTAAATACCTCAAACTAGTTTCATAAAATAAATGACTCTGACACTTTATCACTCTGGTCATTTTCACCTGTTATGGAAAGTAACAAAAGCCAGTTTGCTAAACCACCTGAATAATTACATACATTTGCATGTCATCTGGTAAATACATAATTACTCCCAAACTTTTCTGGGTTTTCCAGCTACAAATAGCAGAGTCAAGGATAATGCAGGAAGTTCGCCTGGGTCAAGATTGCCTCCTCTACAGGTTCCCTGGTCACAGGGATCTGCCAGGATCTGCCTTGCTTTGCTTGTGACATGTACTGTTTGGAAATTTGATTATCTGGGCTCAAAAAAAAGTAAGATGCGGGTAAAGTAAACTACCATGGACACCTCTAATTTTTTTTCTCTCAACCTGGCAAAAAGAGAGGGTAGATTACAAATTTGGTCTATATTCTAGTCGAATGGGTGGATTCCTCCTGGAGAAGAGACTGTAAACTCCCTAGAATGGAACAGAGTTGAGTTAATCTGTGAGGTCGCCACATGCGGTCCCATGACCAGGTTCCCAGATTTAGAAGGTGTATAACGCAGGTGAGAGACATAGTATGAAATACACAGCGGCTTCCTTAAGGGGTTCACCTTTTCACAGACTTTCCCCAGCCCCTCCAAGCAGTGCTGCCCCTCAACACGCCGACTCACCATCAGAAGTGACCAGGAGCCTGCTGGAGATCCTAAAGCTGGCACTCAGCACAGCCAACGGCAAGCTCAACCCAGAGAGCCTCAGTCGGAGTTTTCGAAAAGAAGACCACGCATTGTCTGGCTTCTTGTCCCTACCCAAGGTAACAAAATTAGATTTCAGATCTGTCTACCCCGGAGGCTTCCCGGAGGCTTTGGGTCTGTAGTAAGAAGGCCCGTTATGATCTGTGTTCTGCCCGTGGATTATATCGCACAGTGTTTTGTTTTCTGTGCCAGAGAAGAGAGAAACAAAACAGAAAAGGAATTGTGAAATGTACAGCATTGATCCAGGAATCTCTCTCTATATATATAAAAGTGTAATATGCAAATCAACCGGACAGCAGAACGACCGGTCGGCTATGACACACACTGACCACCATGGGGCAGATGCTCAATGAAGGAGCTACCCCCAGTCCACAGGCCCTGATCACCCAATCAGGGCATGCTGGCCAACCTCTTGGCCCCTCCCCCTGGCCAGCAGGCTCCAATTGCCCGATGGGGAACAGGAAACCAGGGGGTGGGTGGTGGTGAACACAGGTGGTGCCGGAGCCCTGATCGCCCTGCCAGTCGCCCCACACACAGAGGGCGGTGGCAGTGGCAGGGTCAGGGGCCGGCTGCCAGCAGCCAGGGAAGATCAGCCCTGATTGCAGGCCAGGCCTAGGGGCCCTACCCATGCACGAATTTCACGTGCCAGGCCTCTAGTTAGTTATATTAAGCTATATTTTGTGTCAACAATATGGAATAATATAGCAATACCCAAATAATATTTCACAGTGGAAAACAAGTGTTTGCCAAGGCCAAATGTCCATTCCTTATACCCTCACCAGCTTCCAGGAGGTCAGCATGTGGTATCCATTCCTTTGGAACAGCACATTGTAGGGACTGGTGTGACTTATTGCTGATAGAGCTGAGTGTGCTGCTTTGGGAGCATTAATTAAAAGTGCAGATGTGTTTCATGGAAGAAGATCCAGAACCATAAACCCCAGTCATGAGGCTACCTAGGATACAGGCACAATAATAATCACCACGAATGCTACAATTCCTTTAACACCAACTTGTCACCACCTAGCTTGCCGGTGTTCTCACTAAGTGCCAAGTCCTGCACTAAATGCTTTACTTACATCATCTCACCTAACACTGAAAATACAAAATCTAAGTAGTTGTTAGAACCCGTTTAATAAATTTTAAAAAATGAGCCTCAGGAGTCACCCAAAGCCCTCAGTTAGCAAGTGGCAGAGGCAGGATTCAAAGTATAGAGACAAACTGAAAATTCAGAGCTAGAATTGGCACACCATTAGGCAGAAGCTATCTGGAAGGTTCCATTGAGCTCAGGACACAAAAGTTAGAATTCCAGAGGAGTAGAGAAATAGAAGGAATTGAAAATTATAGCAGGGGGCGGGGTGTGAGTCCCATTGGAAAGATTTAAAAATAGGGGTTAGAATTGAGAGCAGAGAATTTAAAAGAACAAGTGATGTTTACTAAGGAAGCAAGGAAACAATATGCTGAAAGTGGGATCTTATTCTGGCACAGAAGTAGCTTGCTCTGTGCTTTCATTTATATAGTCAACGAAGCATGCAAAGGTAAAGCTCGTGTGTGTGTGTGTGTGTGTGTGTGTGTGTGTGTTACACTTACATGCATGTTTTACTAGAAAGAGAGAGAGGATACTACAGGAGATTCCACACATCCTACACACACTTTTTTATGCTCAGGAGTAGATCAGTAGGAATAGATTAAGAAGCACCAATTCTTTGTTATTAGAAACTACATAACAGCATCAGTGACGCTCAAATGTTCTCAGACAATACTCTTAGAGTGGAACATAAATGACTTGAAAATCAAAGTAAATTTGCTCAACCTCTTTGAGTCTCAGGTTTTTCATCTGGAAACACTGGGTTCCAGATGTCTGCCTCCTGTCTGTTGTTAAACAAGATAAGTATGCGAAGGCATTTAGCACACTGCATGATACCTGAACACCGGCAGGCAGAGCCGGCCTTGAACTTCTCCCCCCACAGCTGGCCCTGAAAGCTTAAATTCATGGTTCATATCCAAGGAAATGGGACACATTTTCCTGAAAGCTGGTCTGCCTCTTGTGAGCCATCTGGCATCTCTTAAGACATCTGGAACTCACTCAAAGTATAGTACAGTTCCGGGAGGCATGTGAGATACAATTCTGTTTCCCCAGGACGTGAGACAAATTGAAGCCCAAGGGACATTGGATACGGAAGGCAGCAGTTCCAGCCCAGCGTCTTTATTCCTGGACACAGGACTTCAGAGGGGCCTGGGAAGAGCCATTTGAAGTAGAAGGGGTTTTCTTTTTGACCAGTACTAAATCTCCTTGATGTCAGAGTCACAGTGCAGAGAGTCACAGACCTCCGTCAGTTTCTCGTAAAACTCTGCACCCTGGGCTAGACAGGGGTGGGTGCTGAGGCACCTCCTCACAGCCAACATTTCAGAGGTTTCACAAATGATCGATAGCCTCTCCAATAAATAAATGCAGTCTTGAAGGATAATATGAGTCTTGTCACTCAAATCAATGGAATTTTGATCACTGTCAGAGAACAATATGAAAACATATCAACTCCCTATCATCTTCATCCTACAGACTCACTCATCCTGTTCCTCTAGCACGTCTTTAATACAATGATGGCTTCTGGAAGGACTGCTGAGGCATCATGGATCCACGTACATTTATTAACCACCCTGATCATTACCCAAGTAGGTTCAATGGGTCTTTAGAAACTAAGACGCTCCCAAGTACATAGGCTCAGATTAACCCCTTTTATACATAACCTATATTCATTCTTCATTTCATGAGCTCATTCTCTTTCCACTCTACATCCCAAACTACTCCCAGACCTCCCTCCCAAGAGGAGTTAGCTAGAACACAGGTGGCTGGCCTTCTAATTACTCTGCTTCATTTTCATGCAACTTCCTCATTACCATCAGCAGGGAGTCCCATTCCTGAGGGAATCCTGGCTTTGTGAATGTGAAGTTTGTTCTGGTGACAAGACATTATGACCCTAGTTTACCTGGTGACAGTCTTCTGCAGTTTGTCAGCTCCTCTTTGGTAGTTTGTTGTTTCTGTATCAGTACACTTTGCCCTAAAATTATAAAATTATTTCTACTAACTTCAAATCCTTCCTTCTTCCAGTTCAACAGCCATCTTTCTGATCAATATGGCATGTTTATTCTATACTTGCATTCAACATGTTATTCATTCGGTGTGTTCTGGGAACTGTGATAAGGCTAAGGGCAACAGACTATTACAATTTCAGGAGCTCAGGGGAAAGGTGACATTTTTAAACATGGCACAGTCCTGTATAACAAATGCAGCGATGGCCATAACACTGAGCACAGAGAAGAAACTCCAACCTAGCCTAATCCAGAAACTCTCCATAGAGAAGATGCAAATACTAAATCTTAGAGGATGTGTTAATTTGGCAAAGAATTGGGGGAAGGAACAGAGAAAGGACTCAGAAAGGTGTTCTAGGTAAAAGGAGCAATGAGAAATGGTCCTGAAATGAGAGAGGGCATGGTTAATTTAGGAGCTGGAAGTCATCTATAGTGGCAGAACATAGTGAATGAATGGCAGCTGGGGATGGTGGGAGATGCTGCTCAAATGATGCCAGAATGGGAAGTAGGAGCTAATTTATGAAGTTCCTAAGGAGTGTAAATTTTATCCTGAAGGCACAGAGGAATCATCAAGGATATTAAACAAGTGAATGATATGATCAAATTTGGAATTTGAAAAGAGCACTCTAATAGAATATGGAGAATTAGAGGCAGATAGATCTATAAAAGGCTGGTCCAGTAATTCAAGCAAGAAATTATGAGGGTTTAAGCCAAGGAAGTAACAGGAGGGATGGGGCTATTAAGGAAATACAGAGTAGTTCTTGGTGACTAATTGAATGGGACCCTGAATGAGGAATAATCAAAAATGACTCCTGAGGTTCTGGCTTTGGTAACTTGATGGCTGGCGGTACCATTCTCTGAGACAGGAAACAGAAACGTTGAAGGGGTATAGGAAGGGATAAAGAGTTCAGTTTTGAACATGTTGACCTAGGTTTAGAGATTAAAATGAATAAATGATTTAAGACTCCAATACGGAGCTGAAGCCATGTGAGCAGTTAGGGTTCCTAGGGACACAACAAAAAGTGAGATGGGAAGGGTGAGGACGGCACTTATTGTTGAGGAATAGGTAGACAAAAAGAAGCCAACAGAGGAGATGAAAAATAATCAAAAGGCACATGGGAGTGGTCAAGAAGCCAAGAGATAAGCCATATGGCATGCTGTCATCGATAATTAGGAATGAGAAGTATTCATTAAATTTGAAACTATGGAGGTTACTAGTGACTTGGTAAACACAGTTTAAGCATCCATCGTGATGGGGTAAAAGGCAAATGAAGCCATAAATGGGAAGAGAGGAAGTAGAGGGCATCTGTGCACCACTCTTTCAATGAGGATTTGGGGGAAATGAATATTTATTTCACATGTCAGTTTCTAAATAAGAGATACTTTATTTACATTTGATTTTTAAAAATCCCTGATTAAACAGAAGAAACTTCACATAATCACTTTCTTATTGAACAAGTGTCATCCTTTTAATATCTATGCTTTAAAGGATTTTAATAATAATCCTGAATAACACTAAACTGCCAGGATTTTCTGGTAGATATTTCTATTACTCCTCTACAGCTGTCAGCAGTCAGTTCTTAGCAGCTATCAATCAATCTGCTTCTAGGAACTCTGATGTACTATTTCCAATCTGCTGCTCATTTTAGCCTGGAGCATAATTCAATATTGCCAGCAGTAAATAAACTGTTTTTAGAATAACCTTTTAATATTTCAATGTTTCAACCTCTTAATGTTTCAAAATATGCCCTGGCCAGTGTAGCTCAGTTGGTTGGAGCATCATCCCATATACCAGAAGGTGGTGAGTTTGATTCCTGGTCAGGGCACATGCCAGGTTATAGGTTCCAATCCCAGTTGGAGGCTGGGGTGTGGGAGGCAATGAATTGATGTTTCTCTCTCACACCAATGCTTCCCTCCCTTTCTTCTTCCGTCCAAAAATAAAATAAAAATACATTAAATATGCTGTAATCATAACTATGAATCAATTCTTATTTATGGAGTAAAATGGAATAATGGAACTAATTTCTACCTCTCAAAATTTATTCTTTACTAACTTCTGTCCATACACACTCCACTCTTCAGTGTCTTTAACTCGTTCATTCATTTCCTCATTCATCCATGTATTCATTTACTTAATAATTATTGCTCTTTTATTTTATAACAGTGTGCTAGGCAGTGGTGGTAAGAAAATGAATGAAACACAATTCCAGCCCTCAGTAGACCACTGTCTTGTAGAGAAGCTCTAATGAACAGATAATTACTGCTCAGCATGGAAAGGGGTATAAAACTATATTGAATAATGTCAAAATACAGTCAGTCTCAAAAAAGCACCATGCTCTTTATCACCCATTATTTACATTGCTTTTCCTCTGCCTGGATTCTCCCAAACCCCTTATTCTCCTAGCCAACTCTTAGCTGTTTTTTCACGTTTCAAATCGATCGTGTGTGTGTTTGTGTGTGTGTGTGTGTGTGTGTGTGTGTGTGTTGTTTGTTTTGTTTTGCTGTTAAGCTTCCCTGACACAACTCCTCTCTCTATACTTAGTAAGTAATGCTGGCAAGTTTCAAATCTAAATTTGTTGTTAGTTTCCTTCCATATAGACAAATGAAAATTATCTTCTCGTTTCTGTTTAAGTCTAGGTTTTATTATCATTCAGGTATGGTCAGACCGACAGAGCAGGAGATGCTTGCCATTGAAAAAATAGTGTGGTACTCATAGTTCCCAAGAGGAAAGGGCATGGCACCGCCCCCAGGTCACATGGGGGAGCACCAGAGGCTATCAGGGGACATGTGGGCAAGGCCTTCATTGTGGAATGAGCAAGGCAGGGAAACCAGGTTTAGGGTTGACTAGATTGAATAATTTGGACCCTGAGGCATAGATTCTGTTCTGATTTATTCAATACTTGGCCCTGGGGTGACAAGCACAGGGAAAAAGTGGCTCAAGCCTGAGAGCCCAATGAAGGAGGTGGTTGGTTTGCATATGAAGGGCACACTTTCCTGCCAGTCCATTACTTTATCTAGGAATTGGCTAGCCCTGGGAGGAGCAATCTCTCCAGAGTCAGCAAAGCCTCATGATGTTAAAAAGCCAGATCAGAATAAAAAGACATGCTTGATGCACTTATTATACTGAAATTGCTCTCAAAATAATAATAGTAGCTACTATTTAACACTAAATTAGACATTTCTTTTCTTTATTTTGTCCCTTCCTTCCTTCTTTCCATTCTCTTTCCCTTCCCCATCCCTCTTTCTTGTTCTTTCTCTTGCTACTTCTTTCCTTTCCTCTTCTCTCTTTCCCTTTTTCTTCTTCTTCCCTCCCTTTCTTCTTTTCTTTATTCAACAGATATTAATTCAATGTCTACCAAAAGCCCGGCACTATTCTAACTGCTTATTTTCTCCTGTAATCTTCACAGAATCCTGGGAAGCAGAAAACACTATAGTCTTATTTAGTAGATGCAGTAACTGGGCATAGCAAGGTTAAGTAACTTCCTAAGGTCACACAGATAACAGGCAGCAGATTGGGTGTTCAGAATAAGTCCTGTTTTATTCCAAAGTCTATATGCTTAAACATTATGCTAACCATACAACATATGCTACCACACCCCTAAAAGTTTGACATGTTTGAATCTAAGTATCACCCATCCACCAAGTTGAGAACTGAATTGGTTTGTCAACTAGACTCAGAATACTAAGTACATAGGAAACTGCAGTGACACTTCATTCATTCATCCAACAAGTAATTTATTGAACATCTAGTTTCTAGACTAAGTTCCATGATTTATGTGACATTGAAAAAATCACTTAATCTCCCTAAATCTTGGTTTCCTCATATATAAAATGCAGGTAATATTAACCATGCTAATACAACAAGCTTGTTTTGTAAATCAAAGTAGATATACAAAAAGATTTTGCAATTTACCTATATTATAAGTATATAATTTCTAGGACTTGACTACCAATTCTGTGGCTGACAAATATGTAAGATCAGAATTTTAAAGTTCAGTGACTTCTGGGTAATGAACTATACTCTGTGTCAACCAAATAAAATCTTGCTGTTGCTGAACATTTAGTTGGACATTCTTGTCTTGAATGATATCCTAATGGTACAGTGCACTCTGGGGTATTAATTCTTTATCAAAATCAGCCCTAGCCGGTTTGGTTCAGTGGATAGAGCATCAGCCTGCGAACCGAAAGGTCCCAGGTCCGATTCCAGTCAAGGGCATGTACCTTGGTTGCGGGCACATCCCCAGTAGGAGGTGTGCAGGAGGCAGCTGATCGATGTTTCTCTCTCATTGATGTTTCTAACTCTCTATCCCTCTCCCTTCCTCTCTGTAAAAAATCAATAAAATATATTTTAAAAATATCATATAGGTTCTAATTTTTAATTTCATTACAGTGACAACGTTCTTTTTATGTGCAGGTCAGAGCTATCTGTGGGAAACATGGATTATATCTGACTTTGAGCCTTCTGGAAACATTGCTCAATCATCAAGATTTGGCTTACCAAAATGAAATAAAGTAAGTTGATTTTTTATGCAGAGTCCTCTGAAAGGATACCAAACACAGAGATCTGTCTCTAAATTAGAAGTTTTATGTGTGAAACAATAATATACTTTCAAATAACCCATGATCAAAGAAGAAATCACAAGGGAAATTACTAGAAGCTTGGAACAGACTGTCAAATCTCAGAGGGAAGACAGGGGTAAAAACAGAGTAAAGAAATGTTTGCTTATATTAAAACACATTTCGGACCAGTAGTTTTATTGGTAGCTTTGCCTAGTGGCCAGATAAGTTTCTATTGAATGAGTACAAAAAAACGTTTTACATAAATGTTAAAGGCACACTTTAAAATGAAATACCCATTGCATTTTCAAGTTATTTATTACATGTTCTTACAAGCTAATATCTTTTTAAAGTATGATACTTTGTAAAACACTGTGTAATATGAAGCGAGAATTCTCGTGATTCGTCCACAATGTATTAAGGTCAAATGCTTTCCAATTTGTGAAAATATGAACTATTCCCAGCTGCAATGTGTTAAGGCCAAACCATTAGCCAGAGAAAAACAAAAGCACTGAACTTCCATTTCAAGCCATATCAACTATCAATAATCAAATTTACCATCTTACCTTGAACAACTAAAAGATAGGACAAACTATATGGAGGAATAGTTTTCAGAGACTGGACAAGAGGCAGCATAGAGCAGTGATTCCTGACAGAGAAAAAAAAAATGAGGAAAGCTCACCTTATTGAACAAGGGGGAATCTAAACTTAGCCCAGGATTTTTCTTGAGCTGAAGAGAAAAATCTCTCTAAATCGTGGTTTCCTCATATAGAAAATACAGGTAATAATGTGCTCCACTTCCTGTGGAGTTCAGCAAGGCTAAGGAGGCTAGAATGCACAGTACAGAGTAGCAGAGAGGAGAGATCCCCAGAGAGTTCTTTCTGGAGTTTTCCAATGAGTTGCCCTAGAGTCTTCATGTAAGAACTGGCCACTGTGTGCATTTGAGGAAACTACACAAGTCCAGAGAAAGGAAAACCAAAAGAAAAAGGTGGGAAAATGCTTCGATCTCACACAGGGCTAAGAATAGTTCATATTTTCACAAATCAGAAAGGAACACCTGTGGCCATTGAGTGAAGTCATGAGAAGGATATTGTGCTGTAGTGAGACCAAATTTCTCTAGACAAATTAACAAATCTTATAAATCCTAATAAAGCTTAAAATGAGCAAACTGTTTCCAACTTACTTAACTACCTCTAAGAACAAAGCTCCCAAACTTCTAAAGGGAATAAAACAAAATCAAAAATGTAAAATCACAATCTTTGGCATTCCTACAAAAATTACCCAGGCATGAAAAGAAGACAAAAAAAGTACAATATATCATTAGGAGAAAAACTAATTTATAAAAGAAAATTCATAAACAGAGATGATGGAAATAGTAGATAAGAGTAATAAAAGAGCATTTATAAATGCACTTCACATGCTCATAAAAGCATGAGCCTAATGTTTTCTTTTTGAAAGATCCAAAAAGAAAGCCAAAATCAATACCCCAGTCCAATAATATACTTTCAAACACCCTATGATCAAAGAAGAAATCACAAGGGAAATTACTAGAAGCTTGGAACAGACTGTCAAATCTCAGAGGGAAGACAGGGGTGGGTGGGTGGGAAGAAATCAACCAAAGAACTTGTATGCATATATGCATAACCCGCGTACACAAACAATAGGGTGGTGAAGACCAGGGGCGGGGGATGGGGGGTGGGGGCAGGATAGAAGGGGTCCATGGGGGAAAAAAGGGGGACATATGTAATACTTTCAACAATAAAGATTATATATATATATATATCCTATCTAATAAAAGAGTAATATGCAAATTAACCATCACTCCGAGACAAAGATGGCGGCATCCATAGTGGCTGGGCAGGACGCTGGCGGTGTCACCCCTGCAACGTGAGCCAGCACCCAGCAGGGCCTGCAGGCAACACCCAGCAGGGCCTGCTTGGTGGTGATGATAGCGACCTGCAGGCAGCACCCAGCAGGGCCTGCTGGGCGGTGGCGGCAGCGACCTGCAGGCAGACAAGCGGGGCCCACAGGCAGCACCTGACAGGGGCCTGCTGAGCAGTCACCGCGGTGACCGGGGAGCAGGCAATTGGAGCCCGCAGGCAGAACCCAGCAGGACCTGCTGGGTGGGGGCAGCTGTGACTGGGGAGCAGGAAATTGGGGCCCGCAGGCAGCACCCAGCAGTGCCTGGTTGCCCATCCCCGTGGTGTGGAGCAGGCAGGCCCCGCAGAGAGCAGAGAACCATGGGGAGTGGGCCCAAGCCGTCAGTAGCACATCCCCTGAGGGCTCCTGAATTGGAGAGGGTGCAGGTTGGGCTGAGGGACCTCCCCGCCCATCCCCCGACCCGTGCATGAATTTCGTGCACCGGGCCTCTAGTATATATATAAAACTGAATTAAAAATGAAAACACAACACACCAGTAATCCTTGGCTTTTCTCTCTTCCACACTTCACATCCAATTCATCAGTAACCCATCAGTAAATCAACTCTATATTCAGAATATGTTCAGAACCTGGTCACTTCTCACCACCTCTATTGTTACTGAACTACACCTCATCCAAGCACCTATTATCTTTCTCCTGTGTTACTATAATAGCCTTCTAACTGAACTCTCTTCTCCCTTGTCCCTAGTTTATCCTCAGTACAGCAGCTATAGTGACCTATTAAAACCTAAAATAGTTCATGTCATTGATTTGCTCATAACACTGAAAGAGCATCTAACTTCAGAGATTTAAAAAAAACAAACCCAAGTCCTTACAAAGTGTTCCATGTGATCTGTTCCCCCATCACTTCTCTGGCTCCATCTACAACTTTCTTTGTTCATTATATTTCAATTACACTGTCCTCCTCTTCTTCCTCAAACACACCAGGCACAAATCCACCTTAGCACCTATTTTCCAAATGTTTCCTCTACCTAAACTGCTCTTTCCCCAGATATCTTCATGCTACTCCACTTTTCAAGTTTTTGCTCAGAGGTCACCTATCAATAAGGCTACCCTATTTAAAGTTGTAGTCCCCACCCATTCTCACCTTTAACCTGCTTTCCTTTGCACTCTTCTATACACTTATCAACTTCTAATGTATTTGGTAATTTGCTGATGTGATGTTTATTGTTATCTGTTGATTTTTGATAGACTATATGTCATAGGGCAGGCAGGATCTTCTTTTTATTCATTGATGTATCCCAAAGGGTCCGGCAAGCAAGTCAAACTCACAGCCTACAGGTCGCATGCCTCATTTATTTAATGTGAGTTGGACATGCTTGTGATTGCCTGGCATGTGATAGGTATTAAAAAAATATGGAATTAAACTGAACTAGAAAAGTTATACAGTCTCAAAATACTCTTAAGGATATAGATACATGAATTCTTCCTAGTCCCTGGCTCATGATCAAATTGAAGAAAGCCTTCTCTAATCACCTCATCAAAATCAGGCCCCTTGTTAATATATTTCCTAGCACCTATCACTATTTGTAATTATATATTTATTTGTGTGATTTGTTAGTTTAATGTCTAGATACTGATCTCCATGCTGGCAAAAGACATGACTGTTTCCGTCACTTACTTATTGTTGTGGTTGTTAATCCTCACCAGAGGATATTTTTCAATTGATGTTTAGAGAGAATGGAAGGGAGGAACAGAGAGAGGGAGAGAGGGAGAAACATCCATGTGAGAGAAACACATCCTTTGGTTGCCTCCACATGTGCTGACCAGGGCTGGGGATTGAACCTGCAACCCAAGTGAGTGCCCTTGACCAGAAATCAAACCCACAGCCCTTCGGTGTTCCAGCTGACTCTCTAACCACTAAGCAACACCAGCCAGGGCTTTTTCCTTCCTATTTTATTCTCAACATCTTGTAGGCTGGTATCTAGCATATGGTAGGTACACAGTAAATGTTGAGTAATTAATTAATTAATTTAACAATCATTTACTCAATGCCTGCTGTACACCAGTCACGATTCTTGTCATTGGAAATACAGATGTGAATAAAACAAGGCTCCTTCCTTCATGAAGTTTGTATTCTAATGGGAAAGAACAAGTTAGAACATGTGGCATATCACATGCTGATAAGAGCAATCCAGAAAAACAAAGAAGGCTAAAGGTTAAAGGAAACATCAATTAATAAATAAATGATGATAGAAGGTTGAGCTTAGTCAACGAATTTCTGCCAGACCAGCTTTGGACAAGGGAGTTTCTCTTCTCTAAACCTTAGAGGGGTGGTTGGGTGATGGTGGAGGAAGGTGGTTAAGCAGCAAAAGCAGAGAAGTGGACTAAGAGCCGAGTAGAAAACCAATAAGCTAAAATTGGGAAGCCTCAAAAGGCAACAATATAAAGGGAGGAAATGCAAGTATCAAAGCTCACATTATACCTGGTATATAGTATACTCAATTAAAAGTTGGTGTTCAGAACCAAGATTGTAAGAATCAGAGATATGAGAATAAGAGTGAATGGAGAGCAAATGAGGTTAGGCTACTTATAATTATATCAATATTTTCACTTTCCCACTGTTTAATGTGCATATCAGAGGAGCTGATTTGTTTTATTCACCTGTCTTTGACCTTTGAATGTTCAAGGACATCAAAACAATGAAACCACTGAAGCATTGCACGTGAAAGTGATAAACCTGTTTCATCCTTAAACAGTTATTGGCTAAAGCTTCTTCTGGTGAATGAAATCCATTCCGTTAAGGGCTTTGTATGCAAACCTATATCCTTAAGAGATTAAAGATGCAATTCAGACACACATTTCAGGAGCTGAATGCACGAATCATTATTTTAGTACATATTGTCCATTAATCTGCTGTTCAATTGGGAACCCATTTGGAATGCGGCTGCTTGCTAATTAGCAGGATTCTAGTGCTGAGCTGCTTCCTGATTAAATGTCCTTTAGAATCAATAAAACATCAGGAGGGATTATGGTGATGTGGGATTAACCCCATCTAACCAAATAAAATGAATT